TCAAGTTACCCCTCCTCTTTTCACATCCGAGGAGGAATTAGAGCGTCGCGCCATGAAGACTGCTTCCAAGCTCACCACCAAAGGTCATCTCATGGAGAATGTGGTTGGAAGCCTAAGAAAGGGGGTAAGAACTCATAGACAATTAGCAAACTATTGTGAACATCATGCGTTTGTTTCTTGTGTCAAACCCCAAAAGGTTTATGAGGCGCTCGAGGACTCGGATTGGCTCAATGCCATGCATGAAGAACTCAACAACTTCGAGCATAACCAAGTGTGGAAATTAGTGCCAAGGCCAACCGGGAATCATAATGTCATTGGAACCAAGTGGATATTCAAGAACAAGCAAGATGCTCATGGGATCATTGTTCGCAACAAGACTCATTTGGTGGCACAAGGCTACTCCCAAGTCGAGGGTATCGACTACAGTGAAACCTTTGCTCCCGTTGCTCGCCTTGAATCTATTCATTTGTTGATTGCTTATGCCTCTCATCATAATTTCATGTTGCAACAAATGGATGTGAAGAGTGCTTTTATTAATGGCCCCATTAATGAGTTGGTGTATGTCAAACAACCCACTGGGTTTGAAGATCCCTATTTCCCTGATCATGTGTACCAACTCCACAAGGCACTCTATGGCCTTAAACAAGCCCCACGTGCGTGGTATGAGCATCTTACGGAGTTGTTACAAGATCGTGGGTTCGAAATCGGGAAAATCGACCCCACTCTTTTTACTAAGAAGGTCAAAGGGGAGTTGTTTGTGTGCCAACTATATGTTGATGATATTATTTTTGGTTCCCCTAACAAAGCTTTCAATGAAGAATTTGCCACTCTCATGACCTCAAAGTTCAAGATGTCTATGATGGGAGAGTTGAAGTTCTTTCTCGAGTTCGAAATCAAGCAGACAAGCAAACAAGGGATACAACACAAATAAGCTTGCACAAGTAAAGGCACGAGATAACCAAGAGTGGAGCCGGTGAAGACGAGGATGTGTTACCGAAGTTCCTTCCTTTTAAGGGGAAGTACGTCTCCGTTGGAGCGGTGTGGAGGCACAATGCTCCCCAAGAAGCCACTAGGGCCACCGTATTCTCCTCACGCCCTCACACAATGCGTGATGCTGTGATTCCACTATTGGTGCCCTTGAAGGCGGCGACCGAACCTTTACAAACAAGGTTGGGGCAATCTCCACAACTTAATTGGAGGCTCCCAACGACACCACGAAGCTTCACCACAATGGACTATGGCTCCGCGGTGACCTCAACCATCTAGGGTGCTCAAACACCCAAGAGTAACAAGATCCGCTAGGGATTAGTGGGGGGAATCAAATTTCTCTTGGTGGAAGTGTAGATCGGGGCCTTCTCAACCACTCCCGAGCAAATCAACAAATTTGATTGGCTAGGGAGAGAGAGATCGGGCGGAAATGGAGCTTGGAGCAACAATGGAGCTTTGGGGGAAGAGGTAGGTCAACTTTGGGGAAGAAGACCCCCTTATATAGCGGGGGGAACAATCCAACCGTTACCCCCCAAAGCAGCCCCGCAGAGGGCAGTACTATCGCAGGGGGCAGCGGTACTACCGCTGGCCCCAGCGGTACTACCGCTCCCCCTCGCGGTACTGCCGCACAGCCAGGGGGCGAGGAGCGAAGGAAGGACCCGGACCCAGAGCGGTACTACCGCGGTGGTAAGGGCGGTACTACCGCTTACGAGCAGTACTACCGCCTCTACTGCCGCAACTAGTACCGTAAAACCCGACACGAGAAAAGAGCCCTTGAGTCGAGGCGGTAGTAGCACGGAGCCGCAGCGGTACTACGGCGGAGGACTCCAAGCGGTACTACCGCTGTGGAGCGGTACTGCCACTTGTAGCACTCAAGCGGTACTATCGCTGTGGTCCGCGGTACTACCGCTGGGACCAAGTGATGCACAAGGAAAGGGGAGGAGCTCTCCATCGAAGCGGAAAGGCTCAGAGGGTGTGCAAAGGATGCGTACGTGTTGATTCCACCCTAGCCTTACCAAAGCGAACCCCCTCTTGATAGTACGGTGACTCCTACGAAGCTAGTCCACCAAAACTGAATCGAAAGGGCTACACCGTCTTCGCTTCAAACTCCAAGGGGAGGGAATCATCTCGTGTCAAAGGATAAATCTCTGAAAAGAAACTCAACGCACACGATTAGTCCGCAAAAGCATTGTCACAATCACCAAAACACCTTAGGGATAAATATGCCCTTACAATCTCCCCCTTTTTGGTGGACTGGTGACAATACGGGATTTGCACAAACGAGAAAGGACATAGGACATAAGCAAAACCGCACATCTCTAAATATAGACGGGCTCCCCCTAGATGTGTGCTATCTAGATAAGTGCTTTGGACTGCACGACACACATACTAGGATCAACACTCCCCCTATATTTTAGAGACCAACAACCTTTAGGATGTTTGCTGGACGCGGAGGAATTGATCCCGGGCACCAGTGATCCCGGATGAATAGTAAAATCCGAAAAAATAGTAAAAAAATTCAAAAAAATCTGGTTTTTTTTGTCAAGAAACTTTGATGTTTTTTCTACATGCGTGCCAATTTTCGTGATGAACTGACATTTGTGGAGGTGTCAGCAAAAAAAATAAAATCATGCTCCAAAAAACTGTTTTTGGAAGCATTTTGGAGCATCGATTTTGTTTTTTTTGCTGAGACCTGCATGAATGTCATTTTGTCATGAAAATTTGTACGCATGTGAAAAATATATCAATGTTTGTTGCCAAAAAAATTCCGATTTTTTTGAACTTTTTAAATATTTTTTTCTTTTGTACTGTAGCAAAGGGTGCCTGTGAGCTCGAGCTCACAATAGCACTTTCGGCTTCTCAACCCTTTTTTGGTCATTCCCATGACAAAAGGGGGGCTACAGGGAGTTTGGGAGGGCTTTTCTACTGAGTTACATCGCTCTTTTTAAATTTGATTCTTAATACTCCCTCCGTCCGAAAATACTTGTCATTAAAATGGATAAAAGAGGATGCATCTAGACGTATTTTAGTTCTAGATACATATCTTTTTATCCATTTTGATGACAAGTATTTTCGAACGGAGGGAGTATGTTGTAAAAATCTTAATTTATGTGATCTGACATACCTGCTACATTTGTTGTTCTTCATGCAGTTACCTCATTAAATTATATGCATGTTGATATTCCTCACGGATCACTTAGTTTGCATTGTCATATTCTTAATTTTATATTTGTACACAATGCACTCCCTCAGACTCCAGGATATAGGGGGAGCTCCTCATAGTTTACCTGTCATGTGCACTTGCATTCAAACACAAACTATTCAACGATGCACATTCTAGGGGGGTTATGCCCTCTGTATCGTGGAACCAAAATCCTTGCTACTATTACTATTATTCAATCTTATGAATCATTAACTATGTTGTCATCGAATTGTCCAGAAGGAGGGAGATTATAAGTGTATCTAGTGTCCCCCTAATGGTTTTGAATGATTCTATGGACAAAATAGTTAAGGACTAATGTGTTTGTGAGTTTACACATGTAGTAGTCCCTGAGGATTTGGTTTAACAAATAGTTATAACCCCTAAAATTGTTGTGATAATATTGAAGAATGTGGGATGCCCATTTGTAGCAAATGGTGTTCTTGAAGTGAATGAAGCAAAAACGTAGACTTTGTTTATATTATCAAGGTGGTCAGAGTGAAAGTTAGATTGAACTCTTCATATGTGTGCTCAATCCAAACCTAAAATCTTCAAGTGCCGACCCAGCGGGGAACCCTCACGTTAGCACGCCTGCTCGTGTGGGCCGGCCCACCAAAGCGGCTGCTCGCTCGCTCGGTTGATAAATTAAACAGTTGATTCACCTAAAAAAAAATAAACCGTTGATTGCTTGACCAATTGACCAGTTGACCTTTGACCGATTGATTGTTAATTGACTGAGTGTTGACGAGTTGACTTTTTCAAAAAAGTTCATGGGTTTGATAAAAATCATGAATTTGAAAAAAATTGTGGAATTGAAAATGCGTTGACGATTGTCTCTTTTTTGTGTAGCTCCTGCCATAATGTATATGATCTTCAAATTTTACACTCATATAATATACATCCATATGAACGTGTGTAATATTTTAAAGTTTTTTTGAAACTTTTAAATGCTAATTTTCAAAAAAGAGCTCCATGGAGCTCGTCCATCATTCAGCATTTCCAGTGCTAAATGAATAACCTCATTTGTGCTGATAAAAGGAACATGCAGAATGAACATGTCAAGACAAGACTACCTACAGTGACAATTGATATGGATTGGAGGGAGTATTTTTTGTTTCCTCTCTCTAGAGTATTAAGAAAAGTAGTAGAAGATCGCAAAATCTAGAACAAACTTCCAGCGTTCTCTTGTTTAGCATTTGTTAGATGGCCTGCACTAATTTGAAGGGAAAGGTTGCTCCTTTTTAAGTTGCACCTGTTTCCCCATGAATTTGAACTGCACAGGTTTGTAAGAGAGTGTTAAATGAGTAACCTCATGTGTGCTGATAAAAGGAATGTGCAGAATGAATAGGTCAAGACAAGCCTACCAAATGGTGATGTAGAAAAAAAAACAGGGCAGTCATGAAGTGAAAGGATCCGAACAAGACGAGCCCGCCCCATGGTGGGAGGAAAAAACACAGAACAGTCACAAAGTGAAAGGATCTGTTACAAGGCGTCACACAATTAATTTCAGAGAGTGAACACTTCTAAGTAAGTTGATTGCAATCACTTGGAGCCGGAAGCACTTGTAATAACACCAGCAATGCATGACAGTACGATACAAGCCATGCAATTATGTTTGCATCAAACTACAGTTTCATGCATAACCTACTGGAATAGATAGATCTAGATAGGATAGATAGATAGATAGATAGATAGTACCATGATACCACAAGGTCCCATAGCATATATAGTGCTAGCTAGCCAAACTGCAGAGGTCATAATTTAACTTAAAACATCTGGGGCAATCTTTGGTTCTCATTTTTTCCATCATAAGTCACTGGTTTTCCTTGGTAGCAGCCTCGGCTTCTACCCCATCGCCACCAAAAGCAACAGCCGCAGCGACATAGACAAGTGTCAACTTGGCAGCTCCAACAACCACAGTCTTAGCAGCACGTCCGATGGACATCATGCGCCTGCAGGTAGAGGTAGGGCAACTGGTCAAATTATATGAGATTATATGCATAAACTCCTGTCAAACAAACAAAATGGAAAATAAGGAAGAAAATTGATCAAGTAACTTTGTATCTTCACGTACATTAGAAAGACAGAGGGTCCTGCTTCCTTTTGGAGCTCCGCCAACGTATCTAACACCGTCTTCATCTCCTCAAAGTCCAGCTCTTCCTTCTTCAGGATCTTGCCAGCACGCTGGATTGATAAAAAAAAGGCACATGTATAAATCAACAAGTCACAGAATCATACTTGCCGTATATGAAATTATGGATAAATGAAGTCAAAGAATCATACTCTACTAGCTAGCTAGGAAGATATCGAAACCACAGCAACATGCATCTTATGTGTTGCAACTTGTTACTATTTGCTTGCTAAAGGGATGAACAAAAGGTCATCATGCTCGGATCAACCAGGAAAAAAGATGTTGCTTAATGATATAAGTAATTTGCAAGCTGTCCTGTTGCTAGTAAGTCAGGATGTACAGCTTGAGGTCAGATTAAACAAGCACAGTACCACTACACTAGCATACATGAGAATGCCAAGTAAGTAAGCAATCTTGCTCTTGTTTCTAAGTAGTCCATCCATCTATCTATAGCAGGTAGCAGGTAAACAGAAGAGACACATGCATGTTGCTGTTTCGATTGCACATGATTCAATCATCGCAGGCTACATCCTTGATGTCGGCAGATAAATCATGAGATAAAAGATGTCAATTTTTGTTTAGATACCTCGATGGGAAGCTAAATTTGCTCTTGTTTCTAGCTAACACAAGAGACAAATGCGTGCTAATGTCTCGATTGCGCAGGATACGATTATGGATGGCTAAATCCTTGATGACTTGAGATGGATCATGCGAAAAAAGATGTCAATTTTGGTTAAGATACCTCGCCGGAGACCTGGCTGGAGAGCTGGCGGGAGCGCATGAGCCTGCTTGGCGCGAGCCGGCGTGGTCCCTCCTCCACGACCGCCGCCTGCGTCCGCTGGAGCAGGGAGCCACCGATCCTCCTCGCCGCG